TGGCTGGCACCTTAGCCGCTTGAGCCACAGGCGCCGAGCCGTTTTGTTTTGTTTTAAATACTAGTGATTTCATATTGGTTCTGACAAATTTTAGTTTCCTTTTTTGGTAGAAGGGGTGTGTTAATTTTTCCAGGGCTGGTGTAACAAATTACCATGAATGTGGTGACTTAAAACAACAAAATGTGTTCTCTTACAATTCTGGAGGCAAGAAGTGTGAAATCAAGTATTGGCTGGGCGTGTTCCCTGTGAAGGCTCTGAGGGAAAATCCTTCCTTTCCTCTTCCAGCTTTTGGTGGCTCCCAGAGTTCCCCGGTTTGTGGCAGCATAACTCCAATCTCTGCCTCAGTCTTCCTGTGGCTCTCTGCTCCATTTCAGCACCTGCAGCCTCCTTCCCTTTTCCTTATAAAGACACCAGTCATAGATTTAAGACTCACCCTAATGTAGGTCACATTCACAGGTGCTGAGATTAACTGTTAAGACTTGGACATACTGGGGAGCGGGGAGGAAACACAATATAACCCATTAAAAGGGACATATACCTGGTTTTCCTTTTTTTAGTAATAATATTAGGAAATCTGCTGAGAGTATGTTTAAAATACTTTTGCAATTACCTTTATTTTCCTTAAAGAATATCATTTTATTAGTTCCTTGGACTCTTGCTGCCAGGTGTTTTGGGTTTCTGCATTGGCAGAGTTTCTTTGTTGTTGTTTGTTTTTTGTTTTCCTAATAGAATTGACAACTAAACAAGATATAAATGTAGTGTTAAAGCCACAAGCTGATAATCCTGGAAGAAAGCTTTAGAGATGACCTGTGAATAGTTATTCAATGTATATATTTTACTTGAATGGCTGGCTACTTAAGTTATTTGATAATGTAATCATGTGGTATGTTAGGAAAATTACAGCATAACAAATAGTGATACTCTGTGTTCTTTAATTACAGACTGCCTATAACATCTGGACATTTCCAGTTGGTTGTTTTGAGATTTTTATTTCTGTCAATAGTATCATCTTTCTCTCAGTTGATGAGGCTTGAAACCAAACTCATCATGGAGTTATAGATTTTTGGAACTGGAAGGGACTTCACAGATTATCTGAATTCTCTCATTTCTGTTTACAAATGAGGATACCCAGGACTAGAGTAGTTTCATAATCTGAGGGCTAGTCAACTAATTAGTTATTTGTTGTGTAGCATAGTCCCAGAACTAACTCAGTGTACTTGATTATCAGTTCAGCATTTTTCTTCACTATATTCCCTATCACAGAACTACTGCTATTAACAGCCAACATTGATTAAGCCATTACCACATATTACTGTGCTAAATATTTTTTATATACAAGTATATTCCTTCATGTATTTTCAGAGTCTTGGGCACTTAATGTCTTATATATGTGCTGCACAGTGTTTACTTTCTATTAAGCCTCAAGAGAACTCTGTGGAAGGTTTATTTTTCCTGTATCCCAGGCATTCTCAGGAGTGCTATCATTTGGCAGTATTCCATGAACCTGGTTTTCTGCCAGAGTTAATGAAACTATCACATGGATCATGGTGGCACAAACCTAGTGCAACAACATATATCTTTAGAACAAAATGTCTATCCATATTTAGCATTATTTCTTTACAATGTGTCAGTGCAACTTGACCCAAAGTAAATAACATCCTACTCAGTCCATTTGCCTTGAACTGAAGGACCCAGGGAGGCCAACACCAGCAAATACTCCACAAGGAGAAAATAGGGTGCAGCCCCCTGCAATGTTCCTCATTGGCTTTTATTGAAATTTCAGGCATGGGGTGGTGCCTGTGGCTCAAGCAGTAGGGTGCCGGTCCCATATGCTGGAGGTGGTGGGTTCTAACCCAGCCCCAGCCAAAAAAAAAAGAAATCTCAGGCATGAAAAAATACAGTACATCAGAAGGCTTCAAGCAGAGAGTTAAGGTTAAAAAAAAAGTAGTTTTTCTTTAACTGCATATTTGAACTCCTTACACATCTTATTTACTTTACTTCTGCCTTGCCTTAATCTTATCACTGCTAATATATGCCTCACGGCTGGGACAGTATGCTGTGTGTAGGGAATATTGCTTTCGTTACTCGTGGTCAGCAGCTATTATTGGCTTTTGTCCAGATTACTCTGTTCCTAGTGCCTAGCACTTTTAACCCTATGCTCTGTCCTCCAACAATATATTTTCAAAAGAGAAATTTCTAGGTTAAGGCATATGAATGAATATATTTAAGGCTTTCTATGGGATGTGATATTTTGTAATTTGTTTCTTATCATATCAGTATATATAGATGAACCTCTCACAGGGAACAGTAGCAAGTGTAAAACCTGCTACAGTTTCCTAAATGCCAAAAGCAGGCAGTGGAACTCAATGGACAAGAGGGAGAATGTTTATTACTCAGAGCCCAATAAGTGGCAGTAGTATTGTGTGGAAGGCCAGTTCCCCCCCCCCCCCAAGTCCCACTGGGCAATTCATGGACCCAGATGCAGACCTTGGATTGTGAGGCAGCAAAGGAACCTA